GTTTGTGTGTGAACATATGTATGTGCATGTGTAGGGCTGTGTATAGTTCACACATGGCAGCACCAAGAGTGTATGCTGTGTGAATGTGAGCCTGTGTGTGTGTGTGTGTGTGTGTGTGTGTGTCCCTGCCTGTCTCAGGCGTGCTTGCTGGCTGGCTGAGATCAGACAGGAGGCGAGAATGCCATAGCTGCAGTAACTGTGATCCCTAGGAGAAGAGGTCTCATCTCTTTCCTGGAGATTGATTTCGCTCGGGGAAGAGCGCTTTAATTCCTGTGACTCACTTGCCTGGGGAGTTCAAAGCATCCAGATGGTGGGAGGTATCTGGGATTTCAGGTTTCAGGGTGATTCGCACATTCTGCTCTGATTATTAATTTGTTCTTCAAGCCAGTCCTGTAACTCAGTTCTTAACCTGATCTGTGCCATGGGCCCCTTAGCAGCCTGGTATAATTATTATTATAGAATAATGCTATAAGTACATAGAGTAAAATACATAAGATTATGAAACAAACCAATTACATTGATTGCAACTACTAAAATGCCAAAGGCTCTATTCGTATTTGTGATATAATAACCCATGTGCTTTTTTACTGACACATCGAGGTCAGTGGTACTGTAGATGGCAGCCGAGGTGAGCACAGGTGATATTACAGGTTGTGGTGTGGACACATGCCATGGCAAGTTCACAGGCACTGTGATTTTTTTGCCCAATTTTATGCCCAAAGGAGACACCAACTTTCAGTCCAAGTTAGTGAAAGTAAAAATGTCTTTCCCGGTTAGGTTGTGCAGTCTTGTCTTACGTGGAACTTACGCACATTATTTGGAAGTGACAGGGCCCTTATGAGCATTCTGTTCAGTTTCTCCTTCACTTCGTGTGTATCATAAACACTCATGAAGCTTTTCGTAACCTAACCATCCATCCAGACCTGCGGATGGTCTCCAAGGAAGTCTCAGCAATGCCTAGCACTGCTTGGTGCTGCCACCACCTCTGCTGAGGCCCTCATGGGCAGGTGACCTGGATGCAGTGTGTCACTGGAAAGGGGACTCCTTCCAGCCCCAGGTCTGGCCCCGTGGTGCAGCAGAATCCTGAGGAGTATGGCTGCAATTGCTTTTGCAAGTTGTCTGTCTGGTGCCATGTGCCGGGACTGTGTGAGCGCCGTCAGCAGAGTGAGGCTGTTGAGACCCTCCTCCTGGGAAGCCTGTGGCTCCCAAGCCCTTGTGTTGGAGCTTCCATGGTGCCATGGGAAGTGTTCTGGGACCGAATACCAGATCCCAGCTGAGGTCTGGGAACTGGAGCCAGCCCCTCCCCCCGTCCCCAGGTGGCCTCGGAGGCCCAGGTGGGGCTGCTGGCTGCGACTGTCTCAGAGGAGCTGCCAGAGTGAAAATGGCCGCCTGGGACCCTGGGCGCCTGGTGTTTACCCCGAAATTGTGCTAATCCCACTAATTCCTGTGATTTACACAGGCTGTTGGCTTGCTCTCCTGCCTTACTCTCTGGGGAGAGGCGGCCAGGGGAGGGCAGCAGTCATTCTGTGGAAGATGAGGCCAGGCGCATAGTGGACACCTGCCACCGGGCAGCCCCCAGGGGTCTAGAGCCCCAGGTGCTTCTGTGTTCACAGCTGCTGCAGCTGAGTCCTGGGAACTAGAGTGAATTCCTTTCCTTCTTGAGCACACTCCATAGCCTTATTCTCGAAGCAACCACACTTTAAGCCCTCAGGTGGCACTTCGGCAGAGGACTGGAGTGGAGATCTGTCCCTTCTCACTCCCTGGGAAGTGGCTTTGGGCAGTTCACGTCCCCATAGGAGCCTCAGCTCCTTCCTGGGACAATATCCATTCTGCCACTTAATAGACAGGATGCTGGCACAGGAGCTGATGCTGCTTAGCCTTCATCAGCTTGGGCTGCTGGAACTCAACACTGGAGGCTGGGCAGTTTAGGAGAGCACATGGTTGTAGCTCATCGTTTTAGAGGCTTGGAAGTCTGAGATTGAGGCTCTCGCAGATTCGGTGCCCTTTCCTCACTGGTGAAGTCTGGGGCTCCATCTGCACGTGGTGGAAAGGGTGAAAGGGTGCCACTGAACCTCTGCTAAAGGGCACCAAGCCCGTTGTGAGGGCAGATCCTCATGACCTGACCACCTGCCAAAGGTTGCACCTCCTGCCACCATCTTCGTGCAGGTTAGGGTTCAATGCATGGGTGTTGGGGGATGAAGACATGCCGGCTAAAGCATGCTGTTACCCAAACAACCACTGCCATTTCCTTGTCTTCTTTCTGGTCTTCATAGCCTCTCTCTTTTCCTTCTGATGTCCCAACACTACAGCCTGTGGCTTCTGAGTTGTTGTACCTGACCTTTAGTTCCCCATCTACATTTGTGGAGGGTCAGATTGGTGCCTCCTGGGAACTTGCCCTCCTTTCCCTGGGGCTGTGCTGGATTTGGTCATCCAGACCCTGGGGTTCCGGTCACCTGCTTTTGTCTGGTGTGGCTCATGTCTACTGCTGATTTCTGGTTGGTCCAGAGAGACCCAAGCCCCCAGGCAGAGACTTGGCTTCCTGCCCCTAATTTATCCCTTTGGCAAGGAAATACGGCCCTGCTTGGGAGGGCCTGGGGATCAAGGAGTACAAGGTCCAGCCTGGACTTGAAGGAGGAAAGCAGTGACCCAAGTGGACACATAACAGATGGAATCAGCCGGCAAGAGAGGTGTCATGGGGCCACGGGGCTGGCTGTATCCAAGGAAAGGAAACTCAGTTCATTTAGGGAGGCAGTGTGTGGGAAGAATTCTCACCAACCTAACCAGTCCTCAACCCAGCTCTGTATGAGGCTTGAAGCTTACTGGCAATAGAGAATCACAAAATGAAGAGTTAGTTACTGAAGTTCAGCATGGTGGTGCATAACTGTAACTGCAGATACTTGGGAGCCTGAGGCAGGAGGATCAAAAGTTCAAGGTCACTGTGGGCAGTGTAACAAACTGTCTCAAACAAAGAGTTTTGGGGGGAGCAGTGGGGGCTAGCTCAGTGTTAGAACACTTGCCTAGCTAGCATAAGGGCCTGGGTTCGATCCTCAGTACAGCTTAAAAGAAATTGAGTGGATGAACATGCAGCTACCCAGCAACTCCTCTACCCTGAGCAGCCTCAGCAAACGGGGACACCTGCATGGCCACAGTGTTTGCAAAGTGCAGTCCTATACAGTGCTGCAGCATTTGCCCAGCCTTTGATAGGAGGTGCCCACCCACCAGTCTTGCCGCTGTGGGATGATTACTACTCTGCTTCTGGTTACTACTGGGCAGTTGAGACGGCTCAGCCTCAGGCCCATCTTCAGAGGTGATGGAGATTGCTCCTATTGTCCCTCTGCTGACTGTGTCCTTCCTGGGCTGGCTTCCAGCACCCCATACTCTGCTGTGGTTATTCCCTCTTCCTTCAGCCCCCACCTCCGGCCATTCTGCTCTCTCTTCTTGTTGGTAACTGATCTTTGTCTTGAGCTGTGTGCCAGATCTTATTCTTCTTGTCCACTGTTGTGACAGTCACGGCCAGTGTCTGCCTTATTCCCTCTTAGCTCATAACTGCCCCTGGGCTCCGGATTCGTGTTCCCAACAGTCTACAGCGCAGGTCTCAATAGGAACCTTGAATTTCATGTGACCCAACTGAGCGTCCACAAAACTCCTCCCCTGTTCTGCTTCCTTTTTTTTGGTGGTGATACGGAAGCCTGAACCCAGGCCTCACACATGCTAGGCAAGTGCTGTCACACTGAACTACAGTTCACACTCACTACAACCCCAGCTCTCTCCATCTTTGCAAATGGTACCACCACTCATCCACTCTGATGCTCAGCCAAAAACAGAGGCATCTGGGACACACCCTCCTTTTAAAACTTGTGACTTTCTTATTCTGTTCTGTAGTATTTGATACAGACAGCAGCATGTGAAAGTGATAAGGGATCTTATAGAAATGCTTCAGATGCCAGCCACTGGAGCTGGTGCCTTGTATCCCTCTGGGTGCTCTTGCTTTAACCACTATACCTCACTTCCCACCCCACCCACATTCCATCCACAACAAGGCCTGCCTGCTCTGCCAGGTGGGGCTGTGTTCCACCACCACCACTTTCACCTGGACCACTATGGTCATGGCTCTGACCATGGGTTGGTGTAGGAGCGTCACCTACCCCCAGTGTCTGTCTTCGTGCGCTGGTAAAGAGCGATCGTTGGCATTGTGGGTCACATCTTGGAACTCCTCCACTCAAACCCTCCAGCGCTGTGCTCTTCACCTGGCCCGTGAGCTCCTCCAGACCTTCGTGTCTCCCAGTGTGTCTGGTCCCTAGGTCAGTGCTGTCCCTGTGCCCTACCTGCTCTTCATCCAGCTGCTCTGCTACTCTGTGTTCATGCTGCCTCGTGTTAACGGAAGTAAACCTATATTTACTTTCTCTCTTATTTATTTGTCTCTCAAGTAGACTCCGTGTATTCGCACCAGGTGTGATATGGGATGCTTAAAAGGGACCTAAAAGGTACATTTACTGAGTGCATGTGAGTCAGTAAACACTGCGAATGTATGGAATGAATGGGTGAATAAGTGAATGAATGAGCCTCCAGCTGAATAAATGAAGGGTGGATTTTGGTGGGCAAGGAGGTGCAGCAAGGCTAGCACCTTTCTTTGAAGTCTTCTAGGTGGTTGTCATTATATTTACTTTGATTTCCCCTGATTCTAAGTTGGAAGTTACTCTTTCCGATATCATTTCCCATGTAGTTCTGATCACTCACATCAGTAGGAACTTGTTGCTTAGATCTTTTAAAATCTGGGTAAAAGACAACAAAAATGTTCTGCTGTCGTCCATGCGGTTGTTCAGCAGACCAGATGAATCTCAGGATGAATAATTTTCAAAAGTAATTAAGCACTCCTTCCCAATTATAAGCGCGAGAAGGAAGTTAGTGGCTGGAGAAGTGAGTGGCAGCAGGAATCTGGGTCAGTGCTTGCCTGCTGGTTGGGGTGCAGTGTTGGTGAATGTCTTTGTCATCTCCTTCAGGGTTGCCACCCAGGACTATGAGCGGCTGAGATGGAGACGTCTGCCCCAGCCACTGCCTCGGAGAAGAAAGAAGCCAAAAGCGGGATCCTGGAGGGCAGTGCTTTCCCTGACCCGGGTAAAAAGGCCTGTCCCCTCGCTGTGGCCGCAGCGGCAGCCGTGGCTGCCCAAGGAGGTACTTTCTGTTTTGCGCGCTCTGCGAGCAGCAGGGTGTTTTTCATTAGCCCGTTAGGATTTAATGAGAGTGGTAGCCCTGTCATCAGGGACACATGCTGGGTTTATGGAGGGCAGTGAGCAGGGCGCCCCTGCTCCTGGGGAATCCCGGGCCAGTGACAGTTGCCTGCAGATTTCCTTGGAGGTCTGGCTTCCCCAAAGCCTGAAGACTGAGGCATCTCTGATTCTGGTGGGTGGGGCTTGAGCACCGGAGGGGGAGGGAGGAGAGGCTGCGGGGTGACCCTGGGGCACATTCAGCAGGCACATTTGAGATGTGCCCAGAAAGCTTCTCCCCTCTTGCCTGTGGAGGACTATTTTGGAGAGTAATTGTCTCCTGATGCCTTCTAGCTGTAATTAGAGGGTCAGGTATGGAATTTAGTATCTTAGGTGAATTTCTGGCCAACTTAATTATAACAGAAGGGACTCCGCGAGCCACAGCCTCTCATTTTACTGCCCCAAAGAGAAATACTCTCTGGTTTCCACTGGCCCGTGCCAGCATCCCATTGGGAAAGTTTGGCGGGAAGGCGAGACCTCCCCTTGTGACTGTGCAGTCCATCTGGAGGCCACAGAACTATTTCTGTCTCTGAGGAGTGGAGAGACTGAGATTTCTTTTCTTTGCTCTTTTATTCAAGCGCATTTAGTCATGCCCTGTTGCTCTTGCCGCGGGGAACACAGCTCAGAGCGCGGAGGGAAGAAAACGGGCCTCTGCTTGCTTTGATGCGCGCACAATCGCGGGAGCTTGTTAAAGTGCGCGCCCCAGCTCACCACGGCGGAGGGGGCTGAGCTTGTGCATTTGTCCCTGGCACTGAGCCTATGGGCCGCAAAGGGCACAGGGAGCCCAGGGAAACCGAAAGGCCCTCTGAGGGCGTAGGATTTGTGTTTCTAAGTGTGGATTTGTGGACCTCCGGGTCCTTGTTACTATATTTATTTTTATTTTCCCTGTGATTCTAAGTCAGAGGTCATTATCTGGAAGTTGGCTGGGCCAGGAGAGGGAGATCCAAGGTCAACATTTGGGTCCCCCTGGGAGGTGGGCATCTGAGACCCAGGTTCCCCCTGGATGGTGCTCTCCTGCCTGGCATTGGTGAGGAAGGGCTGCATGGGGGTGTGGGAGGATGGGGTGGGGGCAGAACTGCATGGTGAGGGAGGAGCCAAGGCTGAGGCAGTCCATCCACACAAGGTGGGAGGAGTGGAGACTGGGTGTGGCCCAATGGAATCCTGGCCCTGTTGTTGGTTCTTCCCTGGGTCCCTGGGTCCCTGGATCCCTGCATCCCTGGATCCCTGGGTTGGGGGCCCGTCCAGCCTATGGTGATGCCTGCCCCATTTGTCCCTCTGCCTGATTCTCAGAAGAACAGTGAGCTCCCAGGAACAGGGCCTCTGCGTATCTGACCTTCCTTTTCCACACGTGCATGCCACTGCAACAGCAGAGGACAGACTAAGGCAGTCATTAGATAGGAATTAGGATGAAAGTGGCAGATCCCCTCTAGCATCAGACCTGGTGATCAGTGTTGGGGTAGAAACCAGTACTGGAGGGGTTCTCTGTAGTAGGCCCCACAGCTTGCAACACTGTAGCTCTAGAGAGGCATGTACAGCTCCCCACCCTGCCTCCCCCAGGATGTCCTCCCTCTCTACCTGTGCAGGTCCACTGTGCTCTTGGTCCTTGGCCAGGGGAGCTTGGCTGATGGGGTTTAGCACACAGTGGACATGACCCACATGGGCGAGCAGCCTGCAGGCCTCGGGCCAGGTACCTGTGCTGGGGACAGTCACAGGGACCCAGATGTCCTTCCCTGCTGTCTGCACATCTTTGGGCAGCTTGTCTGGAAAGGACCCTTCTGGAGTCCAAGAAGAGCTGCTATTTGCGCTTGGAGCAAAGGGGGCACTGTAGGGTGGGTCCCCTGTGCTGGTGGACTGTGGTGGCTGCATTCAGGAGTGGGGTGGGGAGACCCAGTGGTGAAGCCCAGGGGTGCAGCCTGGGCTCTGGCTTTCCTGATCTGTGTTGTGAGGGGATTTGATGGATGTTATTCATAGCCACTAAGCTACTGGGACCTCGATCTTCTGTAAATCCCACCAGATGGTGGTAGAGGTGCTGTGGTCCAGACGCTTAGTACACTCAGCACATTTGAGGCCCAGAAAGCACTGCAGAGCCTCTGGCATGGGCCCGCCCTCAGGAGCATATCCTGACAAAGATGAGGTGAATGTATTGGAGCAGGTGCCAGGTGGCAGCAGGTGGCCGGTGTTGGTCCCCCCTTGTTGTGGGGACAACCTTGTGCTCAGCTTTGCTCTCGGCATCTGGTGCTGGGCCTAGCAGGAGGGGCACCGAAGGTCTCTTGTGGACCTAGTGGTGCAGGAGAAAGAGTGGGATTGGCAGAGTGGGGGCCAGGAGGCAGTGCTGTGAAGCCAGCAGCGCTCGCTCGGCCCAAGGAGTGGGTATTTGGCCTCTAGGCACATGACCAGGCATGGACAGTGGGTGGGGTGGGCTGGTTGCACAAGGCAGGCGGGAGGGACAGTAAACAGGGGCACCCTGTGTTCTGGGCTGACCAACCTTCCCTCCCCCAACTCTCACCAGTTTTTGGTGCTGGAACTAGTCTGACTATTCAGGGATAGGCGATTGATGAATGAAACTCTGCAGAACATCTGGAATGGGATGTTGGGTATCACCGGCACTGTTTACCGAGACTTCATAACTCAAGGGGGGGGGATGTGCTTATGTTCTAATATGAATTGAACAGAGCAAGGTGAAGCTGATGACAAGCGCTGCTAGCAGTGAGAAAGGGCAGGAGGGTCCTGGCTGGGAGGTGGGCATCCCAGTGGCAAAGCTTGGAAAGCCAGCCAGGAGCTCTGAGTCCTGAGTAGGCACAGCCTCCCCTTCAACAGCGACTGTTTTTGTAGCTGAGCCTGAGGCCCAGGTGGGAATGGGACTTGCCCATGGCCACCAGCTGCTTCAGCAGAGAGCTAGGCCAGGGCCTGGGGCTCCTGCTTCCTCCATGGTGAGGCTCTTTCAGGTATAGCTGTTCCTCAGTACTAAGACTTCCAGGACCCCTGAGGATACGAAAATCTTAAGCACAAGTCGCTTAGATAAAATGGCATAAAGTTTGTATATAACCTGTGCACATTCTTCCATATACTTTAAATCATCTTGAGATTACTTGTCATACCTAATACAGTATAAATGCTATGCAAATATTTTTTATACTGTGTTTAGGTAACAATGACAAGAAAAAAGTCTGATGTTTAGTACAGATGCAATTTCCTACTCCCCTTTAGATATTTTATCCATCTGCAGTTTGTTAAACCTGATGATACAGAATCCTTGAAAATGGAGGGCTGACTGGAGTTTTATTTATTAATTAAAAAATTTTTTCCTGGCAAGCGCGAGGTCGTGAGTTCGGTTCCCGGTACCGGAGAAAAAAACCAAAAAAAAAAAAAAAAAAATTTTTTTATGATTCTGGGAATGGAACCCAGAGCCTCGTGCCTGCAAGGCAAGTGCTCTACCAGTGTATTTGCTTTTAGATCTTTACTTGAGATTGTTTGGGAGTGATTGGGACCCTAATTTGGGCTCAGACCTACTGTGCTCTGGAGTGTCAGCCATGGAAAAGGATCCCTGTGTCACCATGCAGTTGTCTCACCTGCCAGCTCCTGTTCTCTTCTGGACAGCCAGTTCTTTGGGGTGTGAGGCTGTGACATATTTGCCAAGTCCCCTGGCTCGACCCCACTCAGGAGACCACAAGGCTGGACCTGCTTGGGGTAGAGGTGGGGATCTCCACCTTCCTGAGCCAAAGCGTGCAGCAGAAACACCTTCGCACAGTAGTGTGGAGCAGGGTGAGGTGGTCGCAGGAAAAAGCAGTGCCACCGTCAGCTGGGAAAAGGTCTTTCTCATCATCTGACAGGAGCAGCTCCTGAGAGCAACGGCAGAAGGGCGCAGGGTGGTTCTTTCCCAACCTCTTCAGCGAACGCTTTGGAGGTCATAAATCTTTAAAAACACATTTTGGTCCAGAGCCCTCCCCCCGCCAGTTTTAAAATTGTGTAACTCTTAAAGACAATTTGATTCAGATGTTTCTCATTGCTTTACACCAAAACTGTTCAAATGCTGTTGTATTTTCCTCCTTCATCATGAAATTTTGTTCCAAAAATATTTCTGAAACTTGCTGTGGACCTCAGCAGAGAACCAGGAACCTGTCCACTCTGAGCCTTAGGGAAAATCACGGAGGCTGGAACTGTGAGCCTCAGCTGGGTCCTAGGCTCAGGAGTTTTGCTGATCTCTGAAATCAAGCAGCCTGATGGGCTGGGCCCAGTGTTCATCGATGGTGGTCCAACCCCAGAAGCAGCAGCCGAAGCCCCTGGGAATTGTTAGAAATACTACTTCTCTTTATTTTTTGGTGCTGGGTAGGACACCCAGCAAATTAATAATAAAAGCAAACACAGTCATCCCTCCCCTTCCAAGGTTTCTGTATCATCAGGGCCTTGTGCATGCTACAGAGGATTCTATCCCTGAGCTAACTGCCCATACCCCTCGAAATGCTACTTCTCAGGCCCCACCCTATACCTGCTGAATCTGAGCCTGTAGAAACAGAGCACAGCAACCACGTTGGAAGAAACCATCTGTGTGGTTCTGATGTACTCTTTTTCACCCTTTTTCTCCTTATTTTTGTGGTGCTGGGGCGTGGAACCCAGGACCTTGTGTATGCTAGGCAAGCACTTTTCTGCTGAGCTGCACCCCAGCCGTGATACACTCTTAAGGGAGAACCATTTGTTCTGGCTGCGAGACAGAATGGGTCTTCCCATGTATAGTGTGGGAGTATTACACAGCGTTGCTTTGCAGGGATCACAGGAGGTGAATAATGTGCTCCTGTAAGTCTGACACAGGGTGCTCATACATAGGCCCTTTTAACACTGTCCCTTTTACATAGGGTAGTAGTGAGAAACAGCCCAGACTGCCTGACTGCCTGGTTATGTCTCAGCTCTGCT